TATTAATACAACCACTTTTGTGTCTTAAGTAAAAAATAATCCTAATCTTATTTTAAATTAATTTATGCAAAAAAATTTGTCAATTTTCCTCTTTCTGCAGCATCTAGCCCATATGATATGTGAAATATATACTAGATTTATTTCATATGAGATATAATATAAGTATTATAATATTATTGTTATAGTATCTCATTATGATATTGTGGTGTTATGATATTATAGTATTGTATATTACGGCATATAATATATACAGTGATTAGATACTATATATTTATATTTATTTATAAAAATTTTTTTTAAAAAAAAAAATTCGGGTGGCCGGGTTAAAAATTTTATTTTATGTTATATAAATCAAGAAATTTTTTTTGTATAGCCTTACTTTAAATTATTTAAATTTTTGTCTTTCTTGATTTGTCTATTTTTTTCTACTTGTTTAGGTTTTTATATACTATTAAGTAAAAGATCATCAAAATTTTTTATATTATAGCATCATGATACTTTTCTCTAATTCTTCTTTTGTATTCTTGATAAAGTAGTTTGCTTATATTTTTACCTTATTTTTATCTATTTTATCTAATAGATTTTTTATTATACATCTTATATTTATTTTGATTATTTGTTTATTTCTAGAAGCTTCTTTTTTATATGCTTCATATGATTTAGCTTTTCTATTTTTATTGTTTTTTTTGTTTTATTTGTCACTTGCTATTTTATATACTTGTTTGTTTTTCTTTTGTTACATATTGTATAGTTATATTATATTAACAGATTTGCATTACAGATAAAGTATTTTTTAAAAAAATTGGTTACAAACAATAAAAAACTACTATATTTCTAAGTTTTCTTCTATACCTTGATTATATATAATAACTGTATAAAAATTTATAGTTTTATAATAATATATACTAAAATTTCATTGGCTAAACAAATCACAGATCATTAATATATTTTTTGATCAAAAAATTAACTTTGAATATTATGATAAGAGTGATTATTAGAATAATAGTATAAAATATAGAGTATATAGCAAAATTTATACAAAAAATAGTTTTATAATCAAAATTTTGAGTTATAGATGATTTTTTTAAAAAACTAGCAGTTTGTTTTGTTTTTACATTATATCTGATCCTGTATTATAATTGATTTAAAATTATATATTCATGAATATTTTATGTGGCTACTTTGTATAATATATTTTTTGTTAGTTTTTGACTTTTCAACTCTAGTTTCTTAAGTGACAGAATATTATTTTATATCTTTTTTCTTTACTTAATCATATAAACTTTGTTTTCTAGTATTATTCTTGAGTTCTGTTATTTTTGTGGTTTGTTTTTCTGTAAAATTTGTGTATTGAAATCAGTAGAAAGAGTTTAAACATAGGTGTTATTTCAAAAATCACATCTACTAAAAATAGTATATACTATATAAATTCAAAATAATATCTATATATGTTTTAAAATAATATATATTTTACTATTATATATTTTGAAAAATTCAGATTCAAAAATAGAGATGTTAAAAAGTTTGTTTAGTTTGATTCAACTTTAGTTCTTAAAGAGTCAAAATTTAAGTTAAGTAGTTTAACATGTAATTGATAATTTTAAAAACAAAATACCAAAAATATTCATAATTTACTTTTAATAAATTTTATCTAGATTAATTTTAAACTAACTCTAAATATTTGATTCTAGATCCAGTTTAAACTAGTCCTTTGTGAACTGTTTAAAATCTCTATTTAAAAAATCAGCCTATATATTTGAAATAATACTTTTTGAAATAGCATGCAGATAGTCAAAAAACATGCAAATACCCACTATTTCAAGATTTTATAGTATACATAACTGTGCATAATTATGTAAGAAGTACATAAAAATATGCAAGGGCAAAAACTTTTGCCTAAGAGTAAATTTGAGTTTATTTCTATTTGGTATTAATGCAAATATTAACGTTAATAAATAAAAACTTTAAGATAATGCATCTGTCTCTGGATCTCCAACTTTTTGTACCGTCAAGAAAGCAAAAGATGTAAAGAAAGTGCAGAAATGGATAAGGAAAAAAAGGTACGTAAGATAGAAATGATAATGTGACGCGCGAATATTTCCGTTTTGCAAAATCTAAATTTTTGGGCTAGATCAATTTCAAAGTCATGACGCGACTACAAAATTCAAGTATCAATTCATTCTTATTGACAGTATTGATTAAACCTCAACTATTAAACGTCGGACCATGTGTCTAATGATATGAGATAAAGCAATGATGTAACAATGTTAGTCTAATTTGAATATGAATATATAGTGTGTCGGTTTAATCTGACAATAATTTCGCTTCTCTTTCAAGAATTTTGTACATAAAGGTTTATAAAAAAAAAAGATGGTCTATGAGACTTATAATAAAATCACGAGCGAAGATGAATTTATGCGAATGTTCCGAATATATCGGACAACTCACGAAATGCTCAAAGATAGGGTAAATTTCGAAATGAATTGTTAGCTTTATTAGTTATTCATATACATGTGCTCACTTTATAGGGATATGTTGTCCCGGAAGGTTTTGACAAATATAATTATTTCCATCGACATTGTGTCCGGGATGGTGAATTAGTGTATGTTGTTTATTATTAAGTTTATAATTCTTTTTCTTTTATTCTTAAATATATAATCTATTTTTTTTTCATCTGTGCTAAAAATTTAATAAAAAAAAGTAAAGAGCTGATGATGTTTCAAGTTCAAAAAGAGCATTATCCTGGTGACCGTATCTTGGTTCTTTTTCCTGATATTAAAACCATTGGGATTAATTACATGAAAGAGTAAATATTCTAAATATTTGTATTTACTATAAACATGTACGTGCCTGCAAGTCTTTAAATTGAATTGTTATTTTTAGCGTTTGCGTTCGTTTGAGAGATCTGGAGATAGGTAAAGCGATTATCGTATATCCCGGCACGTTTACCATACAAGCGAGTAAGGTACCAACATTCTTTACGTCTGAATATATTTCTAATCTTTACTAAATATCTTGTTTATTATTTAAATTAGGCCGTTCAAAGCATGAACGCTACCGAAGAAAGTTTATACAAAGTTGAGTTATTTTCCGAGAGAGAACTAGTCGTGAACATAACACAACACGAATTCGTGCCAAAACATATAGTCCTTAGTACTGAAGAAAAACGTGCGTTACTTAGAAAGTAGTACGTATTCGTTTCAATGTTGATTATTTAATTTTATTTATGGCCTCCTTATTAACTGATTATTCACCTCATTTATTTAGTAATATCAAAGAGACTCAATTGCCACGTATTCAAATAACAGATCCAATCTCGAAATATCTTGGGGTAAAGAAAGGGCAGGTTTGTGTATATTATCACATACTTTACGTTGTTTTTCTTCGTTGTTTAAATACTTCAACGATTCATATTAGGTGATCAAGATTACTAGGTCATCTGAAGTCTCTGGTCGTTATATTTCTTACCGCATTTGCTATTAAAGCTTGATATGGTTCGTTTTTTGATATAACAAATTTAAAATTTATGATACCATTATTTTGTTATGTATGATGCCAAGACATTGTAGTGGATTTGGAATTTTGTGGATTCAGAATCAAATAGATTTTGAACTTAAATTGATTTTGAAACTTAAAATCAACACAATTATTTTATTTCAACTGAGATTTTTTTTTCCATTAAAAAAAAATTTTGTCAGATACAGTGATCCTATTGTCAATTTCTACAATAGATTGTAACAATATTGATTTTTTTGCAAAGTAGTCAAGAAATTACAAAACAACGCAAAAATAAAGATTGATTGGATGGGTCAACTCAAAAATCTCTATTCCGAAACCTTACTCGTCTTTTATGTTCGCTGACTGTCTACCGTTCTGAAACTTTCCGATATGTAGTAGTGTTGTTAACCCCTGTAATTAATATCATGATGGCTTAACAGTAATGTAACACAAATGCCAAGAATGCTAATAGATCTATTAGTTCTAGTAGATAGATATGTTAGTTCTATTCAATTTAGTAGAAATATTAGATATAGTATAACTAGTAGATATAATAGCAAGAAATCATGTCTTGAAATGTATAAAAAGCCTCAATCTCTCTCTTATAAAAGCGTCAGTCAACAACTCAACAATAAATAAAAAGTCATCGTGTCTTCATACACGAATAACTCGAGTACTTTATTGAATCTTGTTTACGCGACTAGTATCTTCATATACGTTTAGCCGTTGCCTTTTTCGTAATTGCAAATCACAATTCTCTTAAAGCGTAACTGCAATAAACTAGGGATGTTATCCTGCTTGCCCGAACTACCCAAACTGAGTTTCGGCGATCATGTGATTTTATTATGTTATTTAAACCATAAGATCGAGTTGAAATCGATTAGGTGAACAAAATGCTTGATTTAAGGCCATACAAACTTAATAAATCGGTTCTCATAACGTAAAATTTTTGAAAGTGACCCGGCAACCCGGCTTTTAATTTTATTTTCAAAAAATTATATATATAAAAAACATATAA